GCACGCACGCACACAAACACTCACGCAAGCACACACACGCACACACACGCACACACACGCACGCACGCACGCACGCACGCACACGCACACACACACATACGCGCGCACCTGTCCAGCAATATCACGCGCGTATGCACGGATTGCGCGTTATCAGACGTTTACGCTAGATTAAATCTATCGCGTTCGCGTAATTGGTAACGGCTGATCGTTCGAAATGCAACTATCGTGCATTAATGTAGACAAAGATGAAATTCAATATCTCAATTCGCACGTTAAACCACCTCGCGAAACGACGAAAGTAGTAAATAGGCCGTGTAAATATGAAATGAAACAAGGGGAGAAAAACGAAGAATTTCGGCTGTCGAGCGGTTTCAACAAACCAATCTACAAACAATGAAGAACAGGTGGTCATACGAGCATGAACGAGTAAATGTAAGATATGTGCATGCATGTGTACGTATGCGCGCAATATATACGCACGTACGCACCCAGCTGTTGGAGAGACAAGATTATTTGTCAATCATAAAACGATATGTGTCTTCGGATCGATCAGCGGTAACCCCGCTTCCCCTTCCTCCCCTCTATCACCTCCACCATCGTTTCACCGCTACCTGCAATCCTATTTTGAGAATTTCGAAGTACATGGATACGAAGAAACAATTTCCCGATACAGTCTCTCGTCTCGACTCTTACATCAGTACATCATACAACACCGAACATCGACCATAAATTCCGTATACTTTTTTTTCTTTTCGTTCACATAGTTTTAGCAGTCGCGCTAATATACCAACCGAAGAACATCACAGAAATTTCCCAGATATTACTTGGCAATCAATTATCTCAATTTGCTCTCCTTCGTAGATCAAAGTTTTCGAGAGTACGCCCAGCGATCATAATGTGGAACATGTGCACTTGTGTGGTCTCTCTCTCTCTCTCTCTCTCTCTCTCTCTCTCTCTCTCTCTCTCTCTCTCTCTCTGTCCCCCCCTCTCTTTGTCTGTCTGTCTGTCTGTCTGTCTGTCTGTCACTTACTTTGCTTTTTTTCCAGTCTCGCCGAGTCTTGTGTGCTACTGCGCGATCCCCGATATCACAGAATCATAAAAATTTCCGAAATGACTAGGATAAATTTTTCTCACTAACCAATCGCGCGCACTCAGTAATTCTCAGTAGTTTAAAAGTGACTTTTTTAAACGATAAAGAAGAAAGAACGATGAAAGAAAGATGAAGAATGCAAGTTCCACGCGGATCTCGTTCTCGTACATACAATAGTTTACCGACATTGTGCTCTCCACATTATGGCCCGACCAAGCGTCATTGGAAATCGATTTACCGTTAAGAATGTATACGTAATAATTATAAAATCTCTCGATGGAGACGGCTAAATATCTAAAATCGTATATTTCTCATTCAGTATACTTCACGTCCGAAGATATGTTTGGAAACTCGTGCTTATACACCTTCATTTCTCCCTCTCTCTCTCTCTCTCTCTCTCTCTCCCCCCCTTCCCCCTTCCCCCTTCCCCTCCCCGTTCCTTCCTTTCGTTACATCTCTGCCCAGCTACGAATGAAATCCGAAATACGCACAGCGGTATTCTTTCCCCGTTGTTTTTTTTCCTCTTATACTGCGCTTCCCTTAAACATCCCCCTTTTCGGTACTACGCATCCTAAGAATTAGACGTAGAGATAATTTATATTTTCCACGATAATTTGTACTTGCTCGTTAATTATTATGGCATTTCCCTTTCGCCTTACAGATAAAACATCAACATTCTCTCGTTTTCTACGCTGAGTTTTAAACCTGAATATGTTACGATGAACAACTTTTAGGGTTTCTTCTTGCTTGTACATTCGTGTTTAATATGGATAATATATTAAAGTTCGAGGAGCAGAGCAGTGTATTGTAATAATAACGAGCTCTAACCAACCGTACCGAGAAACGATTGCGTTTGAAGCTTGATTCAGAGCCGCGCGAGAGATCCGCCGTTTAGAGGTACGCAACAACAAGCGGGACAAGAACGGGACGTGAGTTTTATTATTTTTTTTCTTCTCTCTTGTTTCTTTCTTCTCAGCTTCTCTCTCAGCAATGACTCGAGACTGACCGAAAGACGCGTGTTCGAGTGATCGCTGCGAATCAGCTGGAGTGTGACAATTCGCGCGAGCGAAAGACAATTCGCGAGGCACTGCTCTGCCCATGTCCGCGAGATACCTATGTAGGACTATGCCGACTTTTATAAAATCTGAACAGGAGAATATCATCGTGTTATCGATGTGTCGTACGAATATAATATATTTACAGAGTTCAAAATATTACTTTTAAAGAGTTAAAAATATAGTTTGTATTTAGCGCATACACGACGAATCTACACGAATATACACGTTGAGAGTCCCATGATGTAGCCTCTACCCCACATCTCACCGTGTCTCTCTCTCTCTCTCTCTCTCTCTCTCTCTCTCTCTCTCTCTCTCTCTCTCTCTCTCTCTCTACGCTCTTACCTCCCTCTCCGTTATATCCCGCAAAATCGATTCCATGCCTCCGATCTCCGATCTCGACTTCGTCGCGACTCACTCGTCGTAGTCGCATGGACGCGCGCGACTACCCACTCCAGCCGCTTGTCACGCCTTTGCGCTTTCGGCGCGTGCTCTCTTAGGCCTAATGTCGTACGTACGTACGTACGTACGTACGTACGTACGTACGTACGTTCGTTCGTTCGTTCCATCCTCCTCTACGCTCTAGGCGTACATCGCTCTTGATGTATCGCGCGCGCGCGCGTTCCGCGCGTTCGAAAGTTCCGCAAACGCGCGACAACGCGTTAGGCGCGCGCGCGCGCGCGCGCATTGCTCATGAGGATCGTCAAGAGTACAAATTTCTCTCGTTGGTAGCGCCTGCGTGGAACAACTCTCCCCCATCTGCGTAATGCGACTTTCATTCTCGATTGGAAACGATCTCCGCCCGAAGACCTCGCCGTCAAATCTCTCTCACGTCCCCCGCAGACGGGCCTCCATACCATCCACGCCATACGCCGTACGTCATACGCCATACGCCATACGCGGCGTATACCATACTCATCTCGATTCCTCGCGTCAATTTCCCCCTTCAAATTTCGTCGCGGAGTCATCGACTCCGTCAACTTGATCAATTCGAAACGCAGCGATCCGACCGCTGGCAATGGAATGTGTTCCTCTGTATCTCTGCTTCTGCTTGGCGCCAACTTCAACGATGGTTCGAATTTCCTACCCTTCTTGCCCGATCGTCCCGATCAAACCACAAGCTTCTCAGTCGAATTGTCCTTCTTTGGATTTATCGCAGTCTTGACGAAGAAAGATAATCACGCTGTATCAGCAAGACTACAAGCTACGAGCAACTGTGTGCGCGTCGGCGGACGATGAGAAAAAAAAGGGAGCTGTCGTACCAAAGTTTGTCGATTGAAAATCGCCTCGTCTACAATTCGGGCGTTAACTTTGGCATTTTTCGTTGCCTGCTCCTCTCCTCTCCTACCTCCCTTCTCCTTCTTGCATTTTGTTATATGAATCTGATCGAAACGTCATCTCGTGATGATCAATTACAATGCGCATACGCACACACGACGCTCTGGAAAATAAACGTATCATCAAAGTTACAAAAACTTTGTCCGCAACGTAACGATAAGATTTAACGATAAGTTAACTACGATCACAATGGCCCCAATTCTAACGTAGACGGACGACAAAATTACTGTTGACCCGGGTTATTTTTTTGTGCATTTGCTTCGTTTATCTTCGTTCAGCGTTCAGCGCACGAGCAGCGTTCCGATAGCCTCAATTATTTGCTTCCCTCCCCTCTCATCAATGATTTCCTACTATTTCCTACATTACAGGCCAGTAACGTAAAAAGAGGAAGAGTCGTCAACTTTTTTGTAAAAATCGCCACTCTCGCGACTATCTCGAGCTATTGACTCTGAGTATAGCACTATCCTATACTCTCTTATTATAGAATTATACATCATAGATTGGTAACACGGAGGAAAGAACTGATGATTCGAGCTACATATAACGAGCTAACTTGAACTTGAATGCAATTGATCCAGAAACATTTAAAAACGCAAAATAGCACTCTCTCACGTTTTCGAGGCAATTCAGCATTTCTTTCATTTTCTTCGTCTCTATGTAACAACACTGATGTCGATCAAGCAAAATGTATAAAAACAACCACGATGACGTATGATCAGGATGACGGTAACGATAACGACCACAATCAAGGCCACATCGACGACGACGACGACGACGACGACGACGACGACGACGACGACGACGACCGACGACGACGACGACGACGACGACGACGACGACGACGACGACCGACGACGACGACGACGACGACGACGACGACGACGACGACCGACGACCGACGACGACGACGACGACGACGACGACGACGACGACGACGACGACGACGACGACGGACGACGACGACGACGACGACGACGACGACGACGACGACGACGACGACGACGACGACGACGACGACGACGACGACGACGACGACGACGACCGACGACGACGACGGACGACGACGACGACGACGACGACGACGACGACGACGACGACGACGACGACGGACGACGACGACGACGGCGGCGGCGGGGGGGGGGGCGGCGGCGACGACGACGACGACGACGACGACGACGACGACGACGACGACGACGACGACGACGACGACGACGACGACGACGACGACGACGGTGACGAAAACGAAGGTGACGACGGCGAAGACGAAGACGAAGGCGACGACGACGACGAGGTGAAACGTCAGACAAAAGGAGGCTTTGATTGTTCCGACGTTTTCATTGCGGTTGCTGCTGCATATGTATGTGATGATGCATGCTACCGAGGACGTTCTTGATCGCCGAAGCCTTGAGAAGTCGCTTGAGCACACCGCTGGTGCCGCGGTGTTGCAGACTCTTATGCGTCGTCAGCGAGTTCTTGGTACGGTATCTACGATTACAGAACTCGCAGACGTAGAGCGTGTCCGATTGCTCATGTTTATCTTGGTAGTGGCGTTTGAGGGAGTAGTAGCATGAAAACATGCGACGGCAGTACGGACATTCCTGAGGCTCGTTTATGCCACCCGCCGTGGGTGGTGGCATTCGGTACACGACAGTGGGAAGCGTCGTCGGTGCTGGATGCGTCCCGTTGCCCGTACCTGAAACGTATCCGAATCCGTATAAAATTTCTCTCGAAAAAACGGTTCGCCATCTCAAAACGGGAACCGCGATATATCGACATTTCGACAACGAGGTCGAATGTCATATTTCTTCGCGACAATTAAAAAATGAGTGAAAACACCGCAATATGGCGAAACGGGCGTACTTTTTTGTTGTTTGCGTTGTACAACATGAAGAATGCACGCCGTCGAATTATATATATATTATCTATTTTGATTTTGATTTGACCCTCTGTATATCGTACTCTCTCTGTGTGTGTGTGTCGTCACTTTCCGTTTATCGACACACGCACTCTTGAATATCTTTTAAAATTAGGAGGTGAGGACATCGAGATGCCGAGGTTCTCGAGATTATTAGATATTAGAATTGCGTGAGGTGAGGGACATTATATATTTTGATAAGAGAAATTTTGATTCTGGGCTACTTTCCGGGTACCCAAAATAACCTAACCTAATCTGACGAGTAAATGTATGCTGACGAGAGAAAATTAGCATTCTGTTAAAGAGAGAAAAGAAAAGAAAAGAAAAAAAAAAAAGAAAAAAGCAAACGGAAAGATTCACGATGTAGATGTAGATGAAGAAGACGATAAACCTTTTCTTTTCTTTCTCAATCAAAAGGCATCTTCTTCAATCGCACAACTCGTCCGGAATTTTCTGAAACGGAATGTCTTCTGGACATCTCGCTCACTTTAAGAGATATTCAAGTTGCGTTTCAGAGATATTAAAATATGCGACATCTATATCTCTGTATTTATTCATTACGAGCAACTTCAAAATCGATTCTCGCTTTGACCGCCCGTCAAGACACATGTGCGATACTGCGATGTATGAGTCACGTGTATGACAAGTGAAGAAATGTACAGTGTAGCGTGCAATTTTTTACATACGCTAGCATAAAAAAGTGCAGCTGAAACCACCCGATAATCGCTTCGAATTATTCCGATTTGAATTTGACACCTGCGATTGCCTGTGTGTAAGAATGAAAGAATTCAGCATGATGTACGAGAGACTGAATGTTGCATGCGTACATCACAAAGCTCCGTAGATTGTAACATGTTGACAAATCGACAAAGCATCGAAGCATATAATTACCGTAAATTTTACCGTAATTTTAACCGTAAAATCACCATTGTGAGTTTTGGCAAATAGCCGAAATGAGTGAAGAGGCTTGTGAAGAGCGGTGTAAGAGCTTGGCTCGTTATCGCGTGCATCGAACTAGCGATTAGTGTGTACTACGCTAGCGCACGTTGGAAGTAAATATCCAGCGATAGAGGTTAATTAAGGCAACGAGCTCGCTGGCAACTGCTGCTATTCCAATTTCCAATTCCAAGCTCTCGTTTCAGAAAAGATTTTGTACTTCATACACACACAAGTTTCAAGAAAAAGAGGAAAAGAGAAAAAACAATATACCATTTTCATCGTGATTCATCATATCGATAATCATATCGGTCAAACAAAGAGATAACAAATGAGGCGCGAAATGAGAGATTCAGCGATCGATTTTGCACGATCGGACTGATAATGTGAAGTTTTCCTTCGGTCATAGATTCGGTCATAGACAGATGACCTTCGGTCATAAATTCGCGATAATGCCGAATGTGAGAATCGACATTCTCCCGAAAATTACTAAGAGAACGGTCATAAAGTACGGGAATATTAACAATTAACTATAGAAGACAACGTCACACATACGGTGAACGGTAAAAACATATACAACAAAAGAGAGAATGAGTGTTTGCGAAAGTATTTTGAAAGTATTTAACAGAATAATTGCATTGTGTGCGTGTGTGTGGGTGTGTGTGTGTGTGTGTGTGTGTGTGTGTGTGTGTGTGTGTGTGTGCGTGCGTGTGTGTGTGTGTGTATATATATCTGTATGCATGTATGCAACATGTATACGTACATACATGCATATATATATATATATATATATATATATATATATATATACACATATATACACACGTAATACATAAATACATATATACGTACACTCTCGTACGAAACTTCAGCAATCTCTGGGCAAGAAAACTGTCACAACCGCGTTTCGATCGCATTTCGAAGCGTCTGTCTCTCATCAGTCGATGCGCAACGCCGCGATCTAATCCGCGGATGCGTAGAAAAAAAAATATACAAGCACAAGTCGAGCGAAGCACGTAAAGCGGGTAAAGCAGGCAAGCAAGCAGGCAGCAGACACAGTACAGTAATCGCATGGACATACAATAAACGACTAGCCAAACGAGATCGGACTGGGATAACCCGACAATAGAGTAACGGTGTGAGATATACGAAATGTAGCGGACGTC